CACACACACACACAGAGTCTGGCACATATTAGGTGTTTAATACATGGTAGGTGTTATTCATTTATCCAATAAATATCATGTCCCAAAAGGTAATATTTTCTATATTACTTTTAATTACTACTATATTAAATAATGACATTCTCTGCTGTCTCGATTTTTGTTTTTCAAACTTAAGCAATGCATGCTTGGGATTCTTTTCCACTTCTATGCTTTGTACCATCCCTATTTGTATGTAAGTAATTTCTGTAAGGTTTTCTTTAACCTGTTGTTGGTTTCCTTTCTACCTTTGTTTGACATAAAAGTAAGCTTTACCTTTGGTACATATTAACTATGTTGTATATTACATGTACACACACACACACACACACACACACACACACACACAGTTGCACAATCAGTTTAATCAACCCTACTACCAGACAGATGTTTTCTTATTCTTTCGTATCGCTCATCGCTCAATCTGGCTAACTCGTTGCTGAGCACTTCCCTCAAGAAATGTATGAGTAAATAAATTCAAACCCATTCCACCAAGGGTAACTGATTATTAGAAATCTTGGTTATTAACAAAAGTTTATGAAATAAAGATGCTCTGAGGTTTCTCCCCATAAGAGGAAACCCATTTCTTACTGAAACCCATCAACATTTAATTCTCTAGCCAGTATTATTTATCCACCAAGGATTTTTCAGATAGTATGTAATTGCTCTTTTGTTATGCTTCCTGTGTAATTTGCAACTGTACAGATATTTTAGTTGGCAATTTAGTATCATGCTGTCAGATATTAGGATAGCTTAACACTGCTAGTGTTCATCACAGAAAAGAAAAAAATCATTACTCAATTAAAATAGCAAAAATTATTTTTCAGGAATACATTTTGTTGAATAAAAACATGTTGACAACTTTAAACATATACAGTATTCAGTACCAGATGGGGATATTTGATTACTATCAGGTGCAACAATAAAACAATTTTATTTTCAGTGATAAGAGGAAACAAAAAACTGATGATACATGCAAAAAACAAAACAAATCACTATGCACAGAATTTTTTTTAAAGAGCATTGATATTTGTAGCAATAGGCATAATGTACAATAATTTTATAGGGTAAATTTCACTATTCTAATGCTAACATAAAAAAAATGTATATGGCTATTTCCATACAAAGTCATTTTAGAACACCACAAAATCTACCAGTAAAATACATTTCAAGTTTCGATTTAACATAATTCCACATACTGAATTTAATTACAGATTATTTTTAAGTAAGTTGAAATTAAGAGAAACAATAATAAATTCTTTTTTAAAAGCCTATTAAAATGCAATGTAGAATTTAAGGATAAAATTGTAGGAACAGAAAAGGACTTTATCAACTCAATAAAAAAATCATAAGTTTAATTTTGATAAAAAGTTCAAATTTATTTCTCAAAAGGTAAATTCTTGTTTAAGTTTAAAATAATATAATTCGTTAATCGAAGAAAAATGAACTTCACAGGTTCTTATGTGGCAATTTTATTTTTAACAGAGTTTATAGAGCTGATTATACTATAAACTACTACTGAATATCAAGAATATTAAAATATGGTTTCTAGTAAGTAGTAGGGAAAAAAATTCAAAGTTTCTGTTTTTATGAAAAGCCCATGTTATGGTATCTTTTCCTATATCCGTAAGTTAATTTATAAAACTAAGTTTCACTTCAGTAGAATTATTATTTTTTACTTTGCAAAGAAAAGCATCAGATGAATACAACTGGGGTGTCAATGAACTTGACTGTCACAGACAGGCAAAGAGACCATAGAGGAGCTTTCCATAAATGTTCACAGGGTAGGGGGCTGGTGGACACAGTGGAAAGAGCAGACCTTGGTTTTATTTGGCTCTGCCTTTCATCAGCAGTTTGGCTTGAACAGACAAGTCAGTTAACTTTCCAAATTTTAGTTATCTTCATCTGTCTCTGTCAAGTGCACTTAGGCTCTTCAGTTTTAAAAGACCCTAATTATGCAATACCTATAAAGTTAGAAAGAACAAAAAGCAGCCCTCGTATAACTTGAAAAAATAATAATAATGGCAGAAAAATACAAAATGGTTTGTAACTTGCAATGTAATATTTCCAGAGCTGAATTCGTAAATCTCTGAAGCACACCCAGCTAGGATTATATCGGTCAAGACTTGGATACTGTATTCAAAATGTAACTCTCTCCTCTCACATTATTCCTCCACCTGCTCCTCCCCATCCTGCTTCATTCTCCTTTCAAAACCAGCAAAGGGTTGGAAACATTGTAAGCTTCAGGATCAAATCATTTTAAAAGACGCATCTTCAATCAAGTGTATCATCTGCTTCACCACATTTCTCTCCAATGGGAGTGAATTTTCACAAAGAAAATAAAAATATGAATAAACAAATTCGGAAACAGAAACGTACCAGGCCTATTTTTTTGTTTGCTTTGATTGCTGAAATACACAAAACGCAAGATGTATCCTAATCTATTCCCGTAGGAACGTGCATGCATTCACCCACCCAATGAAAAAACAATTCTGCGGCTTCACTTCCCGGCTACACAATAGCTTCGCCGTCAGGCCCTTCCTAGTCCAGTCTTCATCGTCATCGAGTAATTTCATATTGATCACTTTGGCAATGCTTGCACAGGCACTGTCCCTGTCTTCCAGGAGCTTTCATTCTTTAAATAAATAACACTCGGCTGGACACCGAAATGCAGAGATTCTACAAATCCCACGTATTCCCGCCCAGTGGTCTGGCAGCTGCTAATTTTTTTTTCCCCCTGGGGAATAAAATGAAGGGAACCAGACCCAAACCCCACGCTTGTATCTTAGGACAATGAAACCGACAGGAAGCCACGGTCTCCTCCCGGGGGTTTACTACGGAGCCAGAGCTCACGCGGGGTGCAGTCGCCTGGCAGGGTGCGTGACACCGCGTCTTCCACGCCCTCGGAGCGCGTCCAGAAGGCTCCTCGCCTGACCTCCCGCCAACCACCCCACAGCCCAGAACCAACCACAAAAAAGGATCGGCACCGTGAGTCCGCTCCCCGCCGGGGAGAAGCACTTCCCCAGCGACAGCGCGGCCATTCCCTCCAACGCTCGGCCCGCGCCCGCCGCACGGCTACGGCGGATGGGGGAGGGCTGCACAAAGCCCGGAGGGAGCTGAAATGATTCAATACGGTCGGGCGCAGAGGCGGAGGCTGCGAGGGGCCGGCCAAGCCGGGAAACCACGGAAGGGCCG